ATTGTCAAGCTGGATGAGCAAAGTGGTTCATCATAATCAGCTATGCTTGAGATACCACGACTACAACACGATGATGACCAATGAAATGGGAAACAAGGTCACGAAATTGTCTTCGGAGTACTTCGTGCAGAGAAGAGTGAATTCTGTGATGGTGGTAGCTAACATGGCAGGGATTTACAAAGCTTTAACAGTAGGCGATTCGAAGCCATTAGAGTCCACCGGACAGATCTTTTGCCACCCTGCATTGAGAAAAAGCAGTAAGTTTTCCTCTAATTGTTGCAATCATAATAACAAATGGAGAATACCATGTGCATTCTTAAATCCTCTGTGGCTGTAGATGAAAACCTTGTTTTGATCTTATCACGTGGTGTCTTGTTATCCACGGAAGAGCGGATCGATTGCAGGCTGATGATATGTGAATATCTGAACATATCGAAGATCGATGGAGTTTACGACATAGCATGCCTTACAGAATACGGGTTTCTTGCGGAAGAAGCCGATTCAGTGTCCGCCTATGCCTTAACTGAAGCTGTGTATAAGGCACTGCTTATCTTCGATAGAGGGCACTTTCCAAGAAAAAATTCCAGGACTGGGCATTGTTGATATTAGTGTGGCTTTTTCGTTTCGTCGGAGTTTGCTTCGGTTTCGTAGCTGATATTTGTTCCAAACTATTGATAATGCTCAAATATTGGAAATATGCTAGTTTGGTTATACCACTAGTATATTCTCAAATTAGGTTATTCCACTAGTGTTGATAATGCTCAATTAAATATTGGAAATATGCTAGTTAGGTTATTCCACTAGTATATGCTCAAAATTAAGTATTTCCACTAGTATTGGAAGTGACCATTTTGTAGCCTATAAATAGTGAGCAATTTCATTCATTTAGTGACATCCCAAGCAAAACATTTGCTTTGAAACACTCATCTCTTTTGAGTGTTGTTTGAGTTGAGAGAAGAGCAATACCACCAAGTTCACTCCAGTTTTCGGGTGTATGAATTCATGGAGAGCCGTGTTAACCTCAGGGGGATGTTCGTCCATTGTAGCGATTGCACACATCGGGGCGAATTTGCTTCTAAGGCAGTGGATTACCACGACACGATTATCATTCTGATTGATTATTTTATTTAATATTTTCCAGTCAGTGCTAACGCCTCGTTTTGCAGCAGTCTATTTTACCAGCACAAACTTGGAGAGAAAGAGAAACTGGGGATGTGAATTGAAGAGATCAACAGCTTTTAGCCTATGGTTATTTCCGATTTTGGAAATTTCATCAAGATTTCTTCAAATAGAAAACAAGAACAAGTCATCCATTTTAGCCTGCTTACTACCAGTAGTGATTATGCCTTTGTTTTCGTAGTATCACTTGCATTCATGGTTTGGGAAATGTAGAATCATTTGTCTATGGGTTGCGGTATGTAAACAACAATTCTTCTATCGTAATAATATTCTTTTTTTCGTATGTACTTAATTCTCTTTTATGTATCATAATACATCTTTTATGTATCCACGCTTTGATTTATTGAGCTAATGTAGCTCTCTTTTTCATCAAATATATATAAATCTGAAAAAGCAGAAGAACTAAATTCAAGGAAATAAAAGCAAGAATCCTAAATTTCAAATATACAAAGAATACAAGAACTTGGAGCATATTTTAACTAATTAAAAATAAGGTAAACTACTTATTTAGTCACCCATTTGTTCTCTTGTTTCTGTTTTAGTCACTTAATTAGTTTTTCAAGATCATATCTAACATTATGTTTTATTTCTGTTTTAGTCACCCGTCGTTAATATTTTAACGATAATGTTGACGTGATTTTTTTTTTCTTTAACACGACATTTTTTCTTTCATCAGCAGCAATATAATAATATTTTTAATTATTCTTATTTAACCAATAAGATTGTGACACATATAACTACCGTATGAAAATAAAATTAAAGAAAATTTAAAATATTAAGGATATTGGGAATCAATCCTAAACATTTAACCGCTAGGCTAGGCATATTAGTTAGGGCAGTTTCATCATAACTTATATTTAAATTATAGGCTTAATTATAAAATAAGTGATTAAACTATATAATTTTTCACGAATAGGTGCCTACAATATTTTTTAATGATCTTGATACCTAACGTTATAAACTTCATCACTTTAGGTGTCCTCCGTAACTGCAGTTAATTTTGTCAATTAAATGACGTGTCACATTTTGATAATTTTAAATTTTTTTAAATTAAAAAATATTATATTTATAAAAAGCCCTAATTTCTCTTAAATTACAAAAAAAAAACCAAATTCATAAAAGTCCTAAATTCTAACCCTAACATGTCGCTGCCACTCTTTTCGGTCATGACCACTGCCTCGACTTAGTCCCTGCCATTTTCCTAGTCATAAGTTGCCATAGTTACCGCCGATTGGTTGTTGGAATCGCGTGGGATCGCGATTTTCATCCTAGGGTTTGCGGGGTACAAAACGTTGATTGGTCGTCGATCGACCGTCGAAATCGTTTGGGATCGCAATTTTCATCCTAGGGTTCGCAGGGTACAAAACGTCGATTGACCGTTGATCAGTCACGATTTCATAGGGGTATTGATCGGTGGGGGTAGGTGAGGTTGAGAGAAAATTAACGGCGTTTACGGCTCGGGCACATAAAGTATTGTACACACTTATTCGTGAAAAATGTTATAGTTTGGACACTTAATTTATAATTAAGCCTAAATTATACTACATAATTTTTCTTAAAAATATTATTACTACCACAAAATAAATGATTTTAGTCATAATTCAAATGGAACAATAGACAAAATTATATGAACTTAAAGTGATCAAATTAAAAACAAAACATAAACCAAATTCTTGTGTAACATATAAAAATGATAAAATTTTAACTTCTTTTACAATCAAAAGTTTGGAATTGGAGGAACGCATTAATAATAAGGATGGAATTAGAGTATTGAGGAGAAAGAATTGTAATGCAGCCCAATTATCATGTCAAAATGTTGGAGAAAAGATGAACCACTTGCACTTAACAAGCAGGATAAGAAGCCCATAGATTCAAATAAAATAATGCTTTTCATTGAAAAGCTTCTTTTGCTCTAGGCACTCCAAAGAGTGCTTTGCTTGGTTGCATGCTCTTAGAATCACTTTTGCAATTCCATGCACTGCCTCGCAATCTAATCATATTTTACTATATATGATAACAGAAAACACAAGTTAACAATAATAAGATTATTAAGACTATAAGATTGCGTTTGGTTCAAAGAATATAAGATTATCAGTGGGAATAAAAGATTACCTGGGAATAGGATTACTGGGAATATTACATTACTGTGTTTGGTTCGTTTGGCAGGAATGCAAGATTACAGTGTTTGGTTGAAGGAATAAAAGATTACTGGAATGTATATTTTACCAAATTGTCCTTGTTCTATATTTGTTTTTTTAACAAGTGAAATTCTAAATATTTAAATAAAAATTATTTATATAAAAATTCTATTTGTTGATAATATATTACTTGAGTATTTAAATATATCATGTATTATTTTAATTTTAATTAATATTAAATTTTACATAATTTATGTAAAAATATATTAAAATTTTACATCAACATTTAACTAAATGTTTGCATTGTGGAAATTCTTCATAGATATTCATAATAATAAAAAGATATAAATTATTTTTGTTACCTAAGATATAAAATTTATTATATCTTCTATATATAATAATTTATTTATTTGTCTTTTATATTTATACTTAATTTTGTATATTTTATCATTATTATTTATCTCATTAATTTATATTACAAAAACATAATTCAAATAAGTAAGAAAATATAACACTAAAAATCATATTGTCTATAATTCAAATATTTCTTTTCTATTTTATCATCTTTTCTCTATTTCTTCTACTATTATCACTCAAGATAACAGGAAAGTTCATTACATAAACCCTTGGCATTCACCGTTTCGGACAAATATTTTTAATAAAGTATGCTCTTATATTTGTTTATATTTATGAATGATTTACAACCACTACATTAATCGATTCTCGATTAAATTGGTTCGATTAAAGACCATATTAACAAGGGACCTAAAAAGAAATTCAAAAGCCATAAAATAACTTGTTCATCCGTATTTTTTATTTCAATTTTTGGTTTTTAAGTATAGTTCTTCGGATTTCCAATTTTATAACCACTAGATCAGCCGACTCTCAATTAAATTGGTTTGATTGATCGAATTAAAGACCCTATTAACAAAGAACCTAAAAAGAACTTGCTCATCCAGTTTTTCCTATTTCAATGTTTGGTTTTGGTTTTGAAGTTGATCACAACAATTCTTCAAATTTCCAATTTTAGACAGATGAACCCCCAGACCAGCCGATTCTCGATTGAACTGGTTCAATCGGTCGAATTACGACATTAAAATTTTAGCAACCCACATGATAATTACGTTACATTCAAAATTGGTTGAGAGCATCAACCAAATAGCAATGAGTTCGACACATACATGTATCCAACAATAACATGTACCGGAGAAGCTTTTGCGAATTTGAAAATGCGAATGGCACCATAACCATTGATGGTTTTGCTGCCCCTTATGGTATCATTCCTTGATTTATTGAAATGCAATCTAGAAACAGAAGGGGTTACCAGAAACAGAAACAGAAGGGGTTTCCTTGGTTCCACTTTTCAGGAGAAACCAGAAACAGAAGGGGTTACAGTTATTGAACTCTACACTGAATGTTCGCATCGACGATACAAGAACAAGAACACAATGCGTAGCAATAGAAACAACTAAAACATAGTTATTTATAAATACCACGAGTGAACCAGTGGAAAAGAAGTCCCGAAAAGTCAAATGTCACCAAATAGCAAACAAGTGAAACAATAAACAGAGCAATGTACCTATACATATAAAACAAGCAGGTAATGAATCAGAAGAATACAATGAAGAAATATCATAAAAACATTAAAAAGAAAAACTAACCAGAACTGCTCATCGTATCCAACCCATTTGTCATTCCATCCATGAACGAAGTCAAGTAGAAGAACAACTTGAACCAAAAGAAACAGTCCTTAGCCGAACTTTGAAATCATCTCTGTAAATACAACATTTAAGTTTTAGATGAAGTAAAATCAGAAGTGACTTTAGATAATTTATCATTTCCTTTTATTATTTGTGAATGCTCTGTCAGAAATCATCACCTATAGGCTATAGCATGTAAAGACTTTCAAAATAATGATTTGTTTTTGTGAAAATGAAAATAATGACATTCTTAATTTAGTGGATTGATACAAAAGCAGTGTAACATACCATAAAAGCTGATAATCTCATTAGGAACAAAAAACATCAAAATAACTAAAATGAACCAGCAGATAATTTTCATCATCCATCCACCATGGTGTAATCCATCACGAGGATCTTTCTGATTTTTCACATCAATCATTAAAAATGAAAGGATAGTGAAAAACAGAAAATTTCCCAAGCTGACCCTGAGCACCGCATCTGTTTCAAACCATTCCCTGTTGGGAGTTTTGTGAAACTGATTGATCGTCGTATAAATAACAATATTAACTAAACTAAATCAGCAAACTAGGTATATGCAAGACACAGACAGCACGTTCACTTTTCTTCCTCGAGAAACATGCAAAACATTACACATGAAATGGGCCCTATGTCGATAATTAATGACAAACTAATACGGAACATCATGGTCCATGACAAACTAATACCAGCTATCTAGCAATCAAAGAAAAATGTATAGAAAAACAATCTCACATTCATCCAGGAAACCATTTTGATTCAATATACTACACTCAAAGCAATAAACATGGTAATGTAGTTGTAACATCCTCAATATCGGGTTAGTGATCAAATTGTAAAGTTTTAGAATTTGGTGACTAGAGTAGAACAATGGATTAGTTCAATGATTTATTTGAAAATAAATCATAAAAGTTGTTAGTAATTATTAGATTAAGTAAAGGGCAAAATGGTCAATTGATAAGGAAGATTTTTATTTTTCCCTTATAAGATTATGAAACCACGTGGGAAGAGGGAAAAGAAGTTCCAGATTTCTCTTCATCTTTCTTCTTCCTTCATGCGTGAAAACCAAGAGTCAAAGGTGAGTTTTCTGATTATTGGGTTTTGGTTAAATTTAAGATTGGTTTTTGATTATTAGATGATAACTAAGCTTAAGGAAAGCTTAAGTTATCTTAAAATCAAAGTATGATGGAGTTAGGAGGAATTAAAGATTTGAGGTTCTTGGAAGAAATCTTGGAATAGAGTTCATAACTTCAATTGGAAGTTAAATTTGACTTGTCATCAATCTAATTAAGAGATATGAAGTAATAAAATGGAATTTGGAACATGTTAGAAATTGAGTATGATTCTTGAATTTCATAAGGAAGATAGGATTTTGAGGTTAAAGATGATTTACATGGATATAAGTTTGTTCAAGTAATGGTAGTTGAGTTTAATGACATAATAGGGGCTTAAAATAGAATAATTAAGGGAAGAGTTGATGATTTTTGTGCTAAAATGGCAGTTATGGGCTATGTGCATCGATGCACATTCAATGTGTACCGATGCATCAAGGGTTAAATTCCAGAAATTGTTCAGTGTGTATCGATGCACAGGAAGTGCATCGATGCACCCTTAAAAATGGAAACATCGAATGCAATTAATGCATCGATGCATAAGGAGTGCATCGATGCACATGTTAAGGGATGCATCGATACACTATAGAATGCATCGATGCACTTCAAAGGGAAATTGAAATAGATATTTCTTTTGATCTAAGAAATGATAGATTAGAGTATATCCATGGAATACTGATATGTATCAATGTATAAACATGTAGATATCGAGCACGAACAAGTTACGGGATGACCATCAAGTTAAGATTCGATCGGAAGAAAGGAAATCATAAAAGGGGATTGGAACTTAGTGAGGCCAAGGTGAGTGTATACAAGTTAGTTTATGATATTTAATGGAAATAAGACTTGCGACGAGTCTATTTCCTATATTAGAATGCATGAATTTATGATCATATGCATATGTTTGATTGGGTATATGTGATATATATTACAGTATGTATTAAATGATTTGTGTGAATATATGTATTGTGATAAATTATAGGAATTAATATAAATGATCTATATGATTACATGGGAATGTGAAATAGGTTATGTGATAGGTGACCATATATGTTACATAGTATACGTGATCAATTATAGGAATCAATATAATATACTTATATGACTACATGAGAAAGGTGATGAGTTAAATAAGATTAGACTATAGAGTAATATGAGAATAATATATTAGTGAAGGGAATTGAGTATAAATGATGATACCAAACCATAAGATAAGTATTTACTTATAGGATAATATGAGATTATATGAATATATAGTATAACTTTATGAGGAATAATTGGATGTTATATGATTTAGGTATGATAATGATCCACGTGTAAGTAAATTAAGTAATATATATATATATATATATATATATGTTTATAAGTATAATATAGGTTATGTAATGTAAGTGCATACTAAGAAATAAAGAATAAGATAGATGATACGATATAAATTATATTATGAATTAGTGATGTAGGAATGCGATATAAATATGCAATAAATCTTATGTGTTATATGATAAATATGAACATATGAGAATAAGATATAAGTGACTTGGTGATAGAAGTTATATGACCATGAATTATGTAAATATGAATAATTTAAGTGATAGGTAACTATGAGTATTGGAGTATGTATCTATGTGATGTGATATATGAGGTTATATGAAATATTATATTATATGATTATATGAGTATATGAAAAAGAATATAGATTTATGTAAGTTATATAGAAATGAGTTGTGTAAACATGCCTGATATGTATGACATGTTTATAGGAACACATGAGAAATGTTATATGCTATGAGATATATGAATATGAAATGATATGAGAATTTACATGAACTGCGTGATTACATGTATATGTAAATGAAGCTACGAGTTTATATGAATATGTGATATGTTTACATGAATATGGAAAAAAAAAAGAGAAGATAAAAGATAATGCACATGATATGTGTCATGAGAGCTATGGGTATAGTTGGCATGCCAAGAGTCGAGGGTCTACGCGGTCCTTTGGGACATATATGTATTCTTTGGAACATGTATGAGGTCTTTTGAGACACATATTTGGTCATTGACATATGTATATGATTCTTAAGGAATTTTCTACGTGGTCCTTAGGGACATCTTATATGGCACTACGGTGCATTTCTACGCGGCACTTTGGTGCAATTCTACGTCAAAGTCGTTTGTCTTCATGTAATGTTTTGAGTTTTTGTGACTTTTTCAATTATGGCATGTCAATACAGGATTGTAATTCAAACAACACACGATTGGGAGAAGAAGATATAGTAGAGGCAAATGGGAAAAGAAGGATATTTTAGCCCTTGGCACACAGAATAAAAGAATACCTAATGGGTGTGGGAATATTTGTTGTTGGGAAAGAAAGATTACCCTCATTTGGGAAAGAATACCCAACCAAACATGGGTATCCTTGGTCAAGAAAAAATATTCCTGCCAGGAATCCTAAAATACTCTATCCAAACGTACCCTAAACACCACCATGCCCCCAATATATTTTCTAACGTTTGGTTAGCAGTATATTTCAACACCAAACTCCGATACTTTGATTAGAATATATATTTATCACAAAATCTCCCATATATGAAACGCATGCGATTAACGAACACGTTGAAAACGAAGGATAATTTTAATAAAGATTATCAAACTCTATTCATAGTCATAAGAAGAGAAAAACTTGGTCTAAATCTTAAGGGAGAAGGCACCTTTTTTTCCTGAGTCGTAACAGAGCACTACCTCACCCAACGGCTATGAAATAATAAAATAAATATAAAAAGAAAGTTATAGAAATGTCAACCTAAGGCGAATGATTCGTTTCAACGGCTAACTCCATGAACGTCACTTAATCTGATTATACTTGGTGAGCGACGCGTGTGGCGGCGACGCCTGCCTCCATTTATATTGAGGTTTAAATTTACTAAAGTTGACCGTTTCATCTCCCGCCTTTAATCGCTTCATGGTTCTTGCCTTTGCTCCATCCTTTCAGATTTTCTGCTGCTGCAGCCGTTTTCTTCCAATCACCTTTCATGCATTTTTGGGTTTTAATTCAATTAACTACAAGTCTAGAAATTACAACATTTGACCCCAAACGTAATTTTACCATTTTTTAGGTCGAATGATGGTTTGATCCCCGTAGTATGTCAAATTTATAATTTAATTCCCATATTTTAATTTAGTGTAATTTGATTTCTCTGCTCTTTCTCTATTCCGATTAAAATGTTCGCTGTAAAGTACAAAGAAAAATGTTAGCATGGTAAGTTGTATTGGATGTTTTTAATATAAAAAATAGTACACGAGAACATTTTTATCAAAATAATTAATGATATTAATTATTTGACTTGATTAACACTATTAAAATACTAGAAATATCGAACTATGTCAAATTAAAATATATAAATCAAATTTTAAATTCGAGTATGGTAAAAAAATGCAAAAATCGTAATTTAACAGTTTATTATGGTTTGTTACATATCAATTCAAAATTTATTACAAAATTTATTAGCATTTTATTATTTAAATTTCGTTTGAGTTGGTTTAAAAATTTTGTGGTACAACTCACTTGTTAAAGAAATATAATAGAACTGCTAGATTGGGATATGTGAGGTGAAGGTAGCAGATTTGAAATAAACCACGTCGTACATATTGAATTCGTATAAGACTATTTTTACCTTATGGAGACAAAAAAACTTTGATATCGAACAACGATTGTTTGAACACTAATTATGATTTTTTTAGTTCATGTCAAAAAGGAATAAACGACCTAGAGATGTTGTGATCAACTTATTCCTAAAAATAAATATAAAATTTTAATCAAAATTAATAACTAAATCTTACATTTTAAAATATTATTTAAAAATTCGATAAAAATTTTCTGTTTATACTTAAAGTCAAACTGAAACTATTTTTTTTTATTCATAAAATTTCATGAAAGAATATCTCAAATAGAGTTGCGGGGTGAAACCCGCCGAAGAAATCAAAGACTGTTAGGAGTTGTGGTGATGGCGCCAATAAGCACAGCATCACCGAGAACACGCTGAACTGCGTTGACAGTGGCAGCACAGAATACAGCTGAGGTTGGCAGCGCCGTACCCGGTACTGCCATACACCTCCTGTTGCCGTTGATCCGCGTGGCATCACTCCATTGGTCTTAGCTACGAAGTCTCTGATACCTTTTCTGTGACTCACATTTTGGTTTATTTAAATTAAAATCCATATGTTAAATGAGGGACAAATTAAACAGCAAAATGTGAGGACAAGGCGTGCTGTAGCTTTACCAATAATTAGTGAATAAAATGAAATTAATGTGGTTATAAAGAAAACAGCTATGAAATGGCCTGTGTTTGACTTGATTGTTATGGTTAATAAAGGCAAACCCTTCCAGATTAATTTACTTTCAATCAAATTATAACTGTTTACGAGATTTAAACTAGGATAATTACATAATTTATATTTGTTCATCATTATTTATATATTTTATCAAATTAATCTTAATTTTAATTTAATTTAATGATAAATATATTTTACTATTTATATAAGTGATAAATATTATTAATTGTATTAAAAAGACAGAACATTAACCATTTATGTATCTACTATAAGTCAAAAAGCAAGTGCAGGTCATAGGAAGTGTATGCTTGGCTTGAGTGAGGAGAGCGCTGATTTTAGGAGAAAACAGCCACAATCATGGCTGCGCAGCATTAACACAAGGATACCTAAATTGCCTGATTTTCCTTCTTCCAAGCGTTGCCATAACTACTATTTCATTAGTCGTCTAAAATCTTTCATCTTTGCTAATTTTTTTTTTGAAAAACACTTACCAAATATTTTCTATTTCCCAAATTTAATCACTCTGAATTATATATTACTATAAATTAATAATAAATACCCTTTGAAACTATAATTATGTTTTTCCGTGGTTTTCTATGGCGGAAAACGCGAAGCTAAGAATCAAAACAAGGGGAAAAAAAGGCTTTTCTTATACCTCTTTTCTCTCTCTCTCTAGTCTCTGCCTCCGATCTCTCTATTCCGCTATTTGTCGCCTTCTCTCGGAGAAAAAGGGGACTCGACGGAGAGAGGGGAGAAGTGTAGGGACTGGAAGCTTTTTTCACCGGCGTACACCATAGCACTGCTTCATTTTCCAGCGGTTCCTTTCTGGGTTTTCTTTCCTACCGAAAGGTCGCTTCGTTCCCACGGCATATTCTTTTTTTCTTGTTGCTTTACTCTTTATCATTTTCCCGACCCTCTCTATAATTTAAGCAGATTGTCTTTATTTCAAGTCTAGAAAGAAAAGGAGATGCCCGAGGAGGGGATTAGCGGTATTAATATGGTTTGGGTAATGCGATTCTCTGGGTTCTTTTCAGCAGCAATGGCGATGATTGTTCTATCTCCTTCGTTCCAGTCATTTCCACCAGCTGAAGCCATTAGGTCCTCTCAACTAGACAGCTATCTCCGGTTACCTTCAGAGCAGCCGTCACTAAATGACCGGTTCTCTTTTCGAAAAGCCTCGCAATTTCGCAATGCCAAGAATTGTCGCTCCGCCGGTCACAACATCACCAGCGTTTGTGATCCTTCATTAGTCCACGTGGCTATCACTCTTGATGTCGACTACCTCCGTGGCTCTATCGCCGCCGTTCACTCCATTCTCCAACATTCGCTATGTCCAGAGAACGTCTTCTTCCATTTCCTCGTCACCGACACCAATCTGGAAACCCTAGTTCGGTCCACGTTCCCTCAATTGAAGTTCAAGGTATATTATTTCGACCCCGAGATTGTACTGAATCTGATATCGACTTCCGTTAGGCAAGCGCTCGAACAGCCGTTGAATTATGCGAGGAATTACTTAGCGAATCTGCTTGAGCCGTGCGTACGAAGAGTAATTTATTTGGACTCTGATCTTGTCGTCGTTGACGACATCACTAAACTCTGGAGCATCAACCTGGGTTCACGAACAATCGGCGTGCCGGAATATTGCCACGCCAACTTCACGAAATATTTCACCGTCGGTTTTTGGTCGGACGAACGGTTTCCAGGGACATTCATGGGCAGGAAGCCGTGCTATTTTAACACGGGGGTGATGGTGATCGATCCGGTAAAATGGAGGAGGGTCGGGTACACGAAACGGATCGAACGGTGGATGGATATCCAGAAAACCCGACGGATCTACGAGCTGGGTTCGTTGCCGCCGTTCCTTTTGGTTTTTGCGGGACGCGTGGCGCCCATAGAGCATAGATGGAACCAACACGGGTTGGGTGGGGACAACGTAAGGCGAAGTTGTCGAGACTTGCATCCCGGTCCTGTTAGCCTCTTGCATTGGTCCGGTAAAGGTAAACCATGGGATAGGCTCGACTCCAGACGACCGTGCCCGCTCGATGCATTATGGGCGCCTTACGACTTGTACGGACACGCACATTGGAACACCGCTTGAAGGGATAAATTGCCGGTAAATTTCCGACCAGGCTCCGTTTTAAATGCCATGTGATGTTTCAATTGCTGGTGGCTTGTAGCCAAATGCCAATAGGGACGGTGCGATATTCTCTATTTTTACTTTTGGCGGTCTTGTGCTTTGATGGCATCGGTGCGATATTCTCCATTTTTTGCAGACTTGTGTGTAATTTTTTTCTGGTATTTTTTTATTAATATTTTCACTCTTGTTTTAATACCCCAAATAGAGTGGCACATGTACATGCATTATACATATACATACAAACATACTTGATAGATAAAAATCGATTAAATTAATTTGATAAAAAACAATCATAGCGTAAGAATTGTCCAAAGGTGGACATGGGAGATGCCCTGGCAACACACGTGGCCAGTTGTTGTAGTAGTAGTTGGAACGGATGATCTCATCTCAGCACCGCATGATTTGTTCCTTTCGGAGATCATCATATTGTTCTTAATTTATTTATGGCTATCTGGCTAAGATGTGGCATCAACCTTCATGCGGCTGCTTTGCTTCGTAAGCAGTCTCTAATTTGAAGTATGAAGAAATAAAAAGGAAAGAAAAAAGTTGAGTTAAAACATGAGGTGGACATAGTGACAGCCGCAGTTGGGCCCACAATGCTTCTTTTTGGTGGTGAACTCATGACACCGACAACTTTGGATCTCAATTAATTATTAATCACTTCCTAATCCCTTTGTTTTTAATCGTCGGCGGGTTTCATGGGGACATCAAATGGAATTTAAATCTCTCGGATTTTCAAATCATCTCACGCAGTTGATGAGTTTTCCTTTTTTTTTACACTTTTGCTATTCGTCAAAAAGTTCAAAGCATATGGATAATAAATAGAAGATTTCACTATCTGTTGTTCATATAAAGGATTAAATTCAATACATCAGACTTCCAGTTCAGTTCTACTTAATTTCCGACCACTTAATTATTTAGTTATACTTAGGTATTATGTCAAATTCTCCTAAATTTATTTTTATAGGTTTGAAATCTCTTATTACAATCTTTATTTTTTACTAATAAGATAGTGACACGTGTTATTATCTTATTGAATTATTAAATTTATTACATTATAAAAATTTTGGTCTCTAAATTTTTTAAACTTTATACTTTAACCACTAAACTTTTAAAAATTATATTTTAGTCACTAGTCAAAATGTGGGGTATTACAATTCCTCCACCTTAAAGAAAGGAAGAATTTTCCATACGTATCTACATACCTGCAATAAATAGATAAAGAAATTCTTTCTTCATATCTTTTTCTCGTTCCCAAGTCGCTTCTTCAACTTTATGATTATGCTAAAAAACTTTTACTGACAGAATTGCCTCATTTCTCAATTCTTTGATTCCATATGCTAAAACTTTTACTGGTTTCTTTTCATATAACAAATATGGCTAAATTTTTTTATTTCCTTTGTATAATCGCATGTAAATTATCTAATATATACTTTCGAAGCATCGATACATGGAACACATTATATATTTTATCCCTCTCCAGGAGAAATGTTATTTGGGAAATTATCGGACCAACTTTCTTTGCAATCTCATACAATTGATAAATCTCGGAGTTAACTTCCTTTTATGCTTGAGTCTCAGAACCTTTTTCTAAGGTAAAATTTTGAGAAGTACTTTATCATCTCCTAGACATTTAATCAAATCTGACAATACCGATCTTAACATCAACTCTGCAACAAGTATATTATCATTTTTCATTGAAAACTAAATATTTAAAGCGCTTATGACATAGAATGTTTTTCATCTAAGTGCGTCAACTATTATTTTAGCTTTCTTCAAATGGTAGTCAATAATCACATTATGATCTTTTGGAAGTTCAATCCACCTCCTTTGCCTTAATTTTAATTCCTTATGAGTGAACAAATATTTCAAACTCCTATAATATGAATAAATGTAGCATCGCTCACCATATAAGTAATGGCGTCACCGCAACCAGCTCTAAATCATGTGTCAAATAATTCCGTTCATGTGCCTTTAACTACCTTGAAGCATAGGTTACCAATTTACCTTCTTGCATTAAAACACATCCCAAACCATTATGGGACGCATTATTGTATATTACATAATCTTTGTCTGACTCTGGCTGCATTAATACCGGTGCCAGTGTATCAAAGCTTTCTTGGTATTTTCAGTTAAGCAAATGATATATCTTTCTTAAGTAGTTTGGTAAGTGAAGAAACAATCATCGAGAAATTCTTCACGAATCAAATTGATAAAATATATAAACAATGAGTATTAAACATGTTAACATTTAACAAACGATAACTTGATTGAAATCAAATTAAAAGTTTAATAACATAATTAGAAGAAGAAAAATTAGTTCAATAGTCAAGATAAAATCTTCCCGGTGACATTGGAGATAATTTACCCACATATTTATAGTTGTAATCGTTTATAATGATATATTAATTATAGTCATTATATTTATGTTTTGCAACACATGAATGTGAGAAGGTACATAGGACTATCTTGAAAAAGCTATATTAGAATGAACAAATAATGTCAAGCCAAATTACATTGAATGTGAAAAGGCACATAACATAAAGCTACATGATGAAGTAGAGGAACTTCATTAATTACAGGTAAACACATCAAGGGAACTGAAACTTCATGAAATCCTGCCTTCCACCAGATGGAGGATTTATGTAGACCCAAAGCAATGAAACAATGATGGATAGCAACCCAGACCACACGAACACGATGGTCGGAACTTTTCCCCTCCTTCCCATCAAACCTTTTGCAAATGGATAGAGATGGCAAAGCACCCAGAAGCTGAAGAACACCCCTCCCACTAGCTTGCTCCATTGTGGAAACATGCTGTACATGGTTCTCGCTACACCCACCGCAATTGCAATCATGTTCACCATCATTATCGTGATCGGAGGAACCATCAGGAAGCTCCATTTCACCACGTAGAGCTCGGCAAACTCGTCGTCTCTGTCTTCCGGGGTGGCGGATTTGGAAGTTAATGTGAATGAAATGTCTACTCCTGCTATGACCTTCAAGAGTCCTTGTAGCACGGCTGCAGGATGTGCGCTGGTTCCGCCGATCAACCAAAACTGTTCGTTCCTCCACCAATCGTGAAGTGTGATTCCCGACCACTTGATTTCGAGTATCGCGAGCAGACATAACGTAATCGTGATGGCCAGCAAGAATATCAGGAATGTCACGCTGAGGGATTGGACTATGAACTGTCCGGAGAATAGAGAAACTGCAGGCAGAATGCAGTAGACTAGGAGAAACATTGAAGTGAAAGGGTACATTCCCACATTGAAATAGGCTACCCTTTGCAAGAATTTCATTCGACGGCTAGCGAATAAGGCATTGTTCCTTGAAAAGAATATCTCAACAGAACCAGTTGCCCAGCGAAGGACTTGGTGCAGCCGGTCGGTCAAATTGATAGGCGCAGTCCCTCGAAACGCATCCTTCTTGATCACACAGTATACCGATCTCCACCCACGGTTGTGCATTCTATAACCTGTCACCACATCTTCTGTGACAGAGCCATATATCCATCCTACTCGTTTCCCCCACTCGGTTTTATCCTCGTAGAAGCAAGAAATGACACTTATCGCCTCTGCGACAACTGCAGCATCCAAAGGCTCACGCGGCACTGCAAGAGAACCTGCCGGCCTGCCTTTTTCCCCCTTTCCTTGGACATCCTGGAGCAGCCTTCCTTGGTATTCGGCAACCGGGATCGATGCTGCGAGAGAAGTAGAGTTCCCAAACCTTTTAGGAAGAAGCAAAGACTCAATATCTGCATCATCATCATCATCATCCCCATTAATGGGTAGTACCATCTCATCGTCGGCTTTCTTTGTCACCTTGGGCTTCCTTAAAGCTAACTTGATTTTTCTTCTACCAAACCAACCATGATGTTCGGTGGCTCTAGGAGGACTAAAACCATAGAGAGCGGTTCGCCGGAAAATGCAACCTGTACCTACATACATTGGACCCTGTAAACCATCAAGAGCTCTCATACTTACATCAAAGAACACTGTGTTATGATTCGCATATCGGTCATTCAGGTCGATTCCCTCGAACCTTTGTGGGAATTGAACAAAACAAATCCTGTCACCGCCTCTGTCAAGCATAAAGCACATTCCTTCCCTGATAGCCAAAGAATTGTAAACATAGTGATCGCAGTCAAGATTGAGGATGAATGGCCCATTCGACATGATAGCACTGGTTCGAACCAGTGCATTCATGGCCCCAGCTTTCTTGTTGTGATCATAACCCGGTCGTTTCTCACGGGATACATAAACCAGCATAGGCAATCTTATATCAACTTCTGTTGTGTCAATCAAGTTCTCCCCATCTGCTTCTGCACCATAAACCGGTTCGGCATTCGGTGGAGCCAGCATTGCCTTTAGAGAAAACTAAATGTTAGCATTTGAAAATCAATAAACCATTAATCGCAAAAGTTAAATTGTGAAATATACCTGAATAATCCCAGCATGATCTCCTTTTGAATGGTCTGACTCAGCAGAGGCCCATGTTCCAGGCCAGTGAGAACCATCTGACATCCAAGTAGCCTTAGGAATCTTAATAGGATCTGAAAGATTGCCTCCCATTTCCATCTGCTTCTTCTTTGATCTAAGCTCTTCGTGAGCATTGTAAGCATCCGATCTCCTCCTAATGGAGTCTGGCAATGAGTTAATCCTCACCTTGAATTCATCATACTCTCTCTTCATTCTCCTCCTCTCCCTAACGAAATCAAGCCTCACTTTGTTCTTCAAAAAGTCACGCTTTTGTCCGAAATATGCTTCGGGATTTCGAGGGTTGATGTCGTGTTTCCGGCAAAAAGGAACCCAAATTCTAGCAAAACTAGCCGTCTCCGCTAAAGCTTCGAATGTCAGAAGAGCCCCACCATCATCTGAGAGATAACAAGCAAGTTTTTCCACCGGATAGTCAACAGCTAGGATCGAAAGGATGGTATTTGCTGTGACAAGAGGCGGTTCCTTTTCGGGATCCGCCGTGGAAACAAAAACATCAATTCCTGGAAGGTCGGATCTCCCTTTTGGGTTACGGAGGTTCGGGGACTCGAAACGCTCCTTAAGAACTGAGAGATCAGTTATTCTGTTTACAGGACAGAGCTTCGGAAGCTGATCTAGTAACCATGAAAAGGCAAACCACAGCTCACATGTAATGGACATTCCCCATAGCCACATTGCATCGCGGTTTGGGTGCCTAATCCTCCATGTAAGAAAGAAACTCAGGGCAACAAGACGGAGCATAATAAGCAATCTGCAAACAAGCAAACATGTAAAAAATTTCTCATATTTGAAATTAGTTTCTCCCTCGCAATCAGCACTACTAACGAAGTAATATAACATACGAAAAGAATTGAAATTTACCTGTATGGGCTGAGAATTGCAGCAGAAACTCCAATCTTCCTAGTCAAAGGTCTCTTACATCTCTCTCCAAAGTCTGGTGGATGCTCAAAGCCATTAGTTCCGGATCCAGCCCCATAACCATCTTTAGGCCACACAGCATTTCCATAGCCGTATGTCCCTTTAGTCTCAAATAGCCACCTGGTATGATCGAAATCCGGTTGATGATTCTGCCCTTTGAATGATTTCACAAGTGAAAGCCTTTTATCCAGCTTGAAATCGGCAATGGAAGGCAAAGGAAAAGCTCGATCGTCTTCTTCCTCAGAACTAACTTCATCTTCTTCATCATCACCATCACTAGCATCCTTGTAAGGCTCTTTACATCCAGGGCAACGACCACCGCCACTTCCGACACAATCCAAGTAACAGTCTCTGCAAATTTTAAACCCGCATTCACACTTTCCTTGAACTACTTTCTCATCACACCCTCTCATTCCACAAATCAAGCCGGATCTCATCGTCTCCGGCTTCTCCAAGGAAATATCGATGACATGGCCTCGAGTAATCGAATTGTACCCTCCGGTGAAAATAGTACCCGAAATGAAACTCCTTTCGGGCTTCAGCTTCAACCCATCTTTATCACCTTCATTGAGGCTTGTTTGTGAGGCTGATATGGATTGGTGATCAGGTGTTGGAGGTATATGGACTGTGTAGCTTACAAATTCTGAGTTAATCTCTTCGATGGGATCGTCTTTCGTCATAGAGCTGTACCTTCCTCCACTGGAAGCCCTCCTATTCCCTCCACCGCCGAGCGGACTTGCGTTGCTTGATATCGATGCACGGCGTGGAATTGGACTGGTTAATCCCATGCTTCTACTCCCACTTTCTTTTCCGGCAGACGAAACCGTTATCGTCACTGGAGAAGAAGCCGATTTCACCATCTTTACTGTGAATTTGGCTTCTCCAAAGAAGAAAAAGAAAACAACCCTCGAATTTTAAAAGAAGGAAATTAATGAATAATAACCAGAAACTAATAGAATCTAAGGAAAGATAATTTTTTTTTGAACAGAGAAATGAATTCGGAGCATTTCAATTTTTGAAGGGAAAGGATTGGGAAGGCTAAAAGGTTTATCACAACGGTCGATTAATTTAGTCCCTTGTTCTAAAATTATCAAACGGCTATTTTTTTAAAAAAAAATCGAAACGGTCGAGGTTGCTTTATTTTGTAGGGGACCCGAATGAAGAGTGAAGTCAAAAAGTGGATGCTTTCTTAACTTCCAACGGTCTAATTAAATAAAATATTATCATAAATTTGATGGGCTCGACCGGTTCAAAATTTTGCCTCAGTTAATTTGGATCTGAATTCATTGTTTATTTTTTTTAATAAGAAATAGCTACACTACTCAGACTCAGTCGGCAGGATCTGAGTGTATTAATTTTCTTTATAATTATAGATAACAGGTGAAAAGAAAATAGTATATATTTTAATTATTCAATTATAAAACTCTATTTTTGTTGATGCGCAATTAGGGTGAGGAAGGCTGATGTTGTTTGAGTATGGTATATTTTTTTACTTTGGGTGGAAAGTCATTCGAAAACGATTATAATTAATATTATTTATTAAGAGAAGTAATTTGATTTGGTGAGATAACCGAGTTTGTTTGACGGGAAGAGGGAAAGGTAAAACGAGTTCTCTAGTTAGGATTGTAAATGAATTGAGTTTGAACGAATAAGAATATGTTCGTGTTCGTTTGTTTATTTTAGAAAGTGTTCATGTTTGATTCGTATTCATTTAATGTTGGTAAACATGTTTGTTTATTTATTCATGAACGTGTTCATTTAATGTTCATAAACATGTTCGTTTAACGTTCGTTTTGTGTTCGTTTATCGTTTGTTTATATGTTCAATTTTTAGTTTTACCCTTGTTGCGGAAGACGGCTATCGGATAGAGCAAAATCGCAACTGATAATTTGAGAAAATAAAAATGAAGATAAAAGAGACACAAAATTTACGTGGAAAACCCCTAAAAAATTTAGGGTAAAAACCACGGGCAACGGTAGAAGAATTTCACTATGAGAAAATAGGAATTACAACCTCTCTCGATTTACCAAGGAGAAAACAATGATAATTCTCTCTTGATAAAAAAGGAGAAAACAACTCTCAAGAAACTCTCTAAATTCTCTCTAGTATTGGAAGAAAGCTAGAATGCTTTGGGATGGTTTTGAAGCTAAATAAGATAGGGTATTTATAGGAAAATCTTAAGGACTTAATCTTGTAAATACCCTAAATTTTAGTGACTAGAGTTTGTAATTTGACCATATAAAAAATAATAAAAAATTATGCACCTAATTTTCGGTGCCAACCCATTTATTATTTTTGACTTTCTACAATCTCCCACTTGAAGATTTGATTGGAACAATCATATCTTCACACCATTCTTTCTATCTTGTACCATCATGTTGCTTACGTCTCTGACAGGCCACAGAAGGATCGACACCAAGTAAATTTATCAGTATTGATCGTCTTCTTCATGAAATCTGCTATGTTGTCTTTGGTATGGATTTTCTGCATATCTATCGTCCATTCTTCCACCTTTTCACGAATGAAATGGTACTGAACTCGTATGTGCTTTGTCCTTGAATGAAATATTAGATTTCTTGCTAAATGCAAGGCGCTTTGACTGTCACAAAACAGAGAGACATACTCTTGATTGTGCCCAAGCTCCTCCAATAGCATCTTCAACCAAATTGCTTCTTTACTGGCTTGTGTAGCTGCTACATATTCTGCCTCTGTTGTGGATGTAGCCACAACTGACTGTAATTTTGAAACCTTGCTTACAGCTCCACCAGCAACTTTGAACACATATCCTGTAGTAGATTTGCTTTTATCCAAATCCCATACATAGTCAGAATCTACATACCCATTGATTAGTAAGTTTGATCTTCTGTAACATAATGCAACATTTGAGGTCCATTTGATGTATCTCAGGATCCTCTTTACTGTATTCCAATGCTCTTTGCCTGGATTCGCCATGTACCGACTAACTACTCCTACTGCTTGTGCAGTGTCTGGTCTTGTGCATATCATAGCGAACATTAAGCTTCCCACTGCTGATGCATACGGTACTCGAGACATCTCCATCCTCTCTTCTTCACTGCTAGGACTCATACTGGAGGATAATTTGAAGTTAATAGGAAGAGGGGTAGAAATTGGCTTTCTATCTTGCATGCTAAATCGTGACAAGATTTTCTTCAAGTAATTCTTTTGTGAAAGCCAAATCTTCCTATTACTTCTGTCTTGGTGAATTTGCATCCCTAGAATCTTGTTTGTTGATCCCAAGTCCTTCATTTCAAATTCCCTAGCCAGTTGTGCCTTCAATTCTTCAATATGATCTTTGTTGGGTCCTGCAACTAACATGTCATCCACATAGAACAGCAATATAACAAAATCGTTATCACCAAACCTCTTGAAATAAGCACAAGGGTCGGCATTAAGTCTGTTGTATCCAAGGTACATAATGAAGGAATCAAATCTCTTATACCAACACCTCGGTGCCTGCTTTAGACCGTACAGAGATTTGTTCAACTTGCAAACCAAGTTCTTCTTTTCGTCTTCTTCAAAACCTTCAGGCTGGAGCATATAAATCTCTTCTTCAAGATTTCCATGAAGAAAAGCTATTTTAACATCTAGTTGCTCTAGATGTAAGTTCAATGTAGCACAAATTGCCAAAACTACTCGAACTGTTGTTAGTCGAACCACAGGAGAAAATATTTCATTGAAATCAATACCTTCCTTTTGAGCATATCCTTTGACCACCAGTCTTGTACGATACCTCTCAACTTGATTGTCACCATTTCGCTTGATTTTGAAGACCCATTTGTTACCAATTGGCTTCCTTCCTTGTGGTAGTGGCGCAAGGTCCCATGTATTATTTTTATGAAGGGCTTCAATTTCTTCTTGCATCGCCATCATCCACAGTGAAGCATCTGAGTTGTTTATTGCCTCCTGGTATGTTGATGGCTCACCGTCCTCTGTTAAAAGGTAGTATGCAATATTACCTTCTATAACATAATCTGAGTGCCAATTGGGAAGTCTTTTCACACGATCTGATTGACGAGTTGTTGGAGTTTCAAAACTCTCTGGTTCTTGTTCATCATGTGCTGGTTCTGCTTCAGAATAATCTCCTTGTTCAACCTCCTTTTCCACATGTATCTGTGTAGTCTCTGACTTTTCAGCGCTATCATCATCTTCTTTTCTTTGTATTTTATCTTCTACAAAGATAACATCCCTGCTGATGATCACTTTGCGGGCAGTGGGATCCCACAAGCGATACCCCTTTACACCATCAGCATACCCCAAGAATTTGCATTTCCTGGATTTTGGATCCAACTTTGAAATTTCTTGGGCGTTGTACATCACGTACACAATACTTCCAAATACATGGAGGTTTGAATAATCAACTGGTTTACCAGTCCACATCTCCATTGGTGTCTTCAGCTCTATTGTAGTTGATGGAGCTCGATTCACCAAATAACAGGCGGTATTGACTGCTTCTGCCCAGAATGATTTTTCTAGGCCTGCGTCCCTCAACATTGCTCTTGTTATTTCTAACAAGGTTCTGTTCATCCGCTCTGCCACTCCATTTTGTTGAGGAGTGTTCGCCACTGTGAACTGTCTTTTGATGCCTTCTTTCTTGCAAAAGTCATCAAATTCTTCGCTTGTGTATTCTCCTCCATTATCTGTTCTGAAACACTTGATCTTATTTCTAGAATCAAGTTCCACCCGCGCTTTAAAGTTTTTGAAAGTTGAAAACACGTCTGACTTCTTCTTAATTGGGTACACCCAACATCTCCTGGAGTAGTCATCAATAAATGAGACAAAGTATTTTGCTCCGCCTAGGGATGTAACTGGTTCTTGTCATACGTCAGAGTGAACTAATTCTAGAACACTTTTGCCTCTAGAATTTGATGTGTTGAATTTCAACCGGTGCTGCTTACTTGTTATGCAATGCTCACACAAAGTAAGTGATACATTCGTTAAGCCTGGAAGTAGTTTTTGCTCCATTCTGATATGTGTCCAAGTTTCTGATGCCATAGCATTGCAGAATCTGAACTACATGAGGCAACAGAGGCTTCTGCTTCTAGCAAAGTCTCTCCCTTCAGCATGTACAAGTTTGATGCTATCTTTTCGCCTTTCAACACCACAAGCGCTCCACGAAACACCTTCATGATTCCTTTCCGTGTTTCAATCTTGCTAACATTATTATCCAACAATCTGTAGGATAATAAATTTTTTTTAGGCCTTTCACGTGTCGCACATCTCGAACAACTTTAATTGTTCCATCATACATCTTTAATTTGATGGTTCCCACACCAATGATCTCTAAGGCATGATTATTGTAACTATACACAGATCCTCCTGAGACAGGTTCATAATGATGGAACCATTCTCTTCTTGAGGTCATGTGATATGTTGCTCCCGAATCAATGAGCCATATATCTGTAAATCGTTTTCTACCTTCCACGGTGGTTGACGCTTCATAGCATAGAGCATCTCCATCATCTGAAGTGTTTGTGGTATTGCCTTGTGGATTGGAGTTTTTATTTAGACTCCAACAATCCTTCTTCAAGTGACCCTTCTTTCCACAGTGGTAGCACTTTAAATTCTTTTTGCTTCTTGACTTCGATCTACCATATTTGTGACTGCTGCTTTGGCCACGTTCTGTTGATCTCCCTCTCATCGTTGCCAAAGCTTCTGCTTGTTGCAGATTTACTTGTCTGCCTTCCTTGTTCTTGCGCCGATTTTCTTCTTGTAGAACAGCTGCTGCAACGTCATCAAAGACTAGACTGGTGATATTATTATTTGTCAAGTTGATGATGAGTTGATCATACGAATCCGATAGACTTTGAAGTAGAAGTTCAGCACGTTCTTGTTCTCATATTTTACAGTTTAAGGATGTAAGTTGAGAAAATAAAGAGTTCAGCGTGTTTAAGTGCTCCGTCACTGAAGTAGATTCTGGCATCCGGAGAGTGTACAATTTCCTCTTAAGGAAAATTTTATTGTGCAGCGATGTAGCCTCATACAATTTGGTGAGATGATCTCAT